AGTCCCCGTGGGGGCAGCGGTAAAATCTTCGGATTTCACAACGCTAAAAATCAGAAGTTCGATTCCCCTCAGTGGACACAACAGATAGTCCGATGTGGCCTCACTATAACAAAACACACACATACAGCTTTTCTGAAATAGCACAACATTCAAGACCCCACTAACTCCCCACGATTTTACTCCTAGCAGTCATCAGAGTCATATTCAAATCCTTCAGTGAGATGCAGTCAAGTCTTCAAAGCAAAGAATGACTAATAGTTTTTGTCGCTCCCTATCCATAGTTTAACATGTTCGTCATCCCAATGTCAGCAGTTAGGGCACCATTTTAATCAACGCCTTATTTCACAGGCGTAATGAGCAACTTGTAGACTGAAACCCGCTTATGAAATCATACAGCATGGAACGTCTTTGCGCGTAGTAAATATGTTGGGCTTCAGTCCTGAATTCTTAAAATAAATCCTGGATAGCAGATGTAGTACCATCCCAGATAGTGGATTTAGTGCCATTTGTACCGTTCTATTTTCACATTAGCACTCCTAGTGCCTGGATAGCAGATGTAGTACCATCCCGGATAGTAGATTTAGTGCCATTTGTACCGTTCTGTTTTCACGTTAGCACTCCTAGTGCCTGGATAGCAGATGTAGTACCATCCCGGATAGTGGATTTAGTGCCATTTGTACCGTTCTATTTTCACGTTAGCACTTCCAGTGGTTCTTCAACATATTAACCACAGTGGATTAATATACAGGAAGGCATGCTGAAATGTATTAGATAAACCTACCTACCACACGTGTTGCATTTAACAACACTTTCTCGTTGAAGATTCATCTTATCTTACCACTTAGTGGCTGCCCATAGTAACTCCTGGCCTTTTTGAACTCAAAATAGGGATGCAAATTCAGTGAAGAGGGGTCCATTTCTAGCTAGGGGTGTGTAATTCTAGTTCATTTAGCAATATAAAGTATATCTGTATAACCTAACTAACGAACAACACATGTGATAGTTTACTCACCGAAAACAAGAAATGTGTTCGTGAAAACAAACCAACCAGAAATAATTCGTCCTTAAAAATAATATTTACTATATTATAAAAAGTATTTTTATAAGATACTAATTATTTTTTTAAAAGCGCGTGTTCTTTTGGCATCGCTCTTATAAGTAAATTGATAGACGTGTAATACAACAATAAATTTCTTTATTGTTAGAAAACTATCATAAAAACTTCAAATGATTAGCAGAACTTTTCATTTTCAGCTGTGCTTTGTGTATGTTCATTACCTTTGTTTTTGTTCATTTATTTTCTAAGATTGCAGTGTCATGAAAGGTGGTTCGTGAAATGTCGTCCCGAATAAAAATGATTTCAAATAAACCCAGGAATGCTCACAACGGTTTCCTGAATATACACTCACCACATCCTTCTGTTAAAACATATTTTAATGTAGTTTTCTCACTATCGCGTTACCTATTTCAAATGTTTTTTGTTTTTTTTTAATTGTATGGTTATTGTGTTAATAACAAGCAACTTATCACTGTTCTACTCAACAGAGTCTGGCACTGATTGAAGGTAACATTCTACCTGGGGCTGGAGTTTTGGTTGGTTGTCGGTGAGTAATACTTTTTTGGAATTCAGACCCGTCCTTTTCTGTCTCTCTCAATATCAAAGCCACTGTTCAATAAGATTTTTGTTTGAAAGCACGTGATCATCAACTATTTTATAAGCTGAACCCAGTTCTAATAAATATAACAAGGGCTTATTTCAATTGAGTAAATCTTCTTTAGGATAAATCTTGTTATCATTTCAGTAAACAAAACGGATTAACTCCATAGACTCGTTTTCATCTTAAAGAAGTTAAAGGGAACTTTAATAAAATCCGTTAACAAATATAGTATTTTACCATTGTCGATAAAAGGCTTCATATCTGCCTTATCAGCCAAGTAATGATCCCTATCAAACAGTATTGTATTCCTAATCCATAAGATTAGCTTTCATATAAACAATTAATATTTTTTACTGATTTATTGTGAGAGAGATGTAGTTACAAATTGTTGCCATGCAATATGTTCAATCATGTAGACGTAAAAAAAAATAATAATACATTGAAAACACCGTTCATAGTAAATCATCGATGTTTTAAAAGACAGTTTTTTTTATGTACTCCTGTATATAGCAGGTTTAAAAATTAACCCACGCACATTCACGAAGGTAGTGAGTAAGTATCTAAAAACTCGTGAAAGGTCGTCACAAAGAACGATAAATACTTATTCAATATTCTGTATTAACGGCATTTGCTGAATAATTTACTGTATGAAACACGTAACCCTAATGGTAGTCGCGTGATGAGATTCAACAGGGTGTGGTGTAGTGAATTTGAAGTTTTTATGGACGAAATCTGTCTGAAGTGTAGTGGCGAACAACATTTCGGTTTCTGCGCTGAAACCTTCTTTTGGTCAGTACAAAAGTTGAAATTCAGTACCACTCACTCTTTCTAACACCGCTCTAAACCAACATGTAAACTATTATATGCACAATCTGATTGCGTGGCTTGAAATATATTGTAATTTATAAAGCAGCATTATCATATCGAAATGTTAATTCCTTCTTTTTATTTTTATTTCTATCACAGTACGCGTTCACACGTGATAAACCCTACACTACAGAAACTTATACAGTGCTTTATGAGAGTATGAATTAACTTTAAGATTGAGTTACTTCGTGCTTACGGAGCTACTAATATGTTAATGTTCAAAATTCTGATAAGGTTTAAGTTGCTTCAAGTATTTCTAACAAAGTTTTACACACGTTATTTCTACCGTTGACCCGATCAGGGAACAAGAACACTAACTGGCTGATTCGCCAGTTCTTGTGGACAGTAGTAAAGTTAACCAAAATAAATAATAATAATAATGCATGTGAAATAAATAAATATTTGGTATTAGAATGAAGTAAAAATATTGTTGGGTTATTAATTCTTACCCTACAAATCAGGCATAATAATTACTTAAATAAAATTTATATGTATATATTTAAAAAAATATAGCGTCTAGTCCAGTCTATGTCCGGTGAATTCTACCTCGATACTACACGACTACCTGTTCCTATTAACCCTATAATATTCCCAATACAACTAATAAATCTGTACTTGTTCAGCATGACGTAACCTAACCAAACGCGTAAATTAAAGGCTGTGTTTAGCAACTATTGAGGAAAAATCTAAGTAAAGAATTTTTCAAAATTATTTAAGCGCCCGGGGTGCTAAAACGGGTGAATGCAATAAATATTGTTTTATTAGTTATTTCTTTCTGCAGATGGTTCTTTACTAAAGAGCTTTACTTGAATGATATAAAACGTATGAAAAGAAAACCTTTAATTCAAATTATCCACTTAGCTTTTTGAGTAATGCTTTTATTTCTATTTCTAAATCACATCTAATATTTTCTAATAAAATCACTAAACAAATAAATAAAAACAGCTAAATTTAATAATTTTATTATCAAAACTCTATAATAATATCATTGTACTAATGGTAGTATTCTCTTCCTTTGGTTTAAGATTAAATTGAAACCACAAAAATATAAAAAAACTTGTTGCTTTCACCCGGGATCGAACCGGGGATCTGGTGCGTGTGAGGCGTACCTTTTTTTTTATTAATTCACCCCCATAGAGTGAGTATAAGGAAAATAAATACATCAAATGCTCAATACATACAACGAAAATGACTGTACATACTTGTATAGTTCAAAACAAAATACAAAGATATTTACTTGAAATACACACACAAAAAAGTTGTATAACAAAACATACTGAAAACACAAAAGAAACATCCAAACAAATACAAAAATAGTAGAACACTAAGCATAGAACACGACGTAACCAAAAAGATCAATAAAACCCAAAGAAAAAAATTATAACCCGAATTAACGACAAGAAATTATCACTCCAAGTACCCACAAAGGGCATAACCCTGTCGACTCTCACTCACCAAATGACCACGTTATGTGAGACATACGTTATAACCACTACACTATAGAAATGTGTTGAATACACTTTTCCTTTAATCCTGATTAATTTATTATCTCAAATAATGTTTTTATTGGTTACCAAACAAAGATGTTACACTAATGTTTATTAAGTTGTTTGTCTTTAAATGAAGAACATAAGTTTCTGAAGATGACTCTTTATTACAAAAGTGGATATGAATGATTCTATATAACGTATGAAAAGAAAATTTTCAACTAAATATTTTTACACTGAAGGAATATGCTCCAAGGTTCGTGAATTTCTCTTTGTTGATCATATATTTTACTAAACACTTCTCTTTTTTTTTTTCATTCACATAGGTTTATTCACTTATGTTCAGAGTTTGACATTTCGTTTTCTGTGGCGAGTGAGACCCTCTTGCAATCCATAAAATCCCCTAATCCAGTAAAAGGCACTTTGTCTGAAACTGCTCTAAACAAGTTGGGGGAGGGGGTAATCAGTTATTTCTCTTTCCTCTTAATGGGTGATTGGAATTTGAAATTTTTATGGACTTAATATATCTGAATTTGGGGGAATCGGTTCCATTTAAGTTGGTAAGATTTTACGGTACTTTTTGAATACATAGTTGGCTACTGATAGTGCATTAATATGATATATTGTTTAATACGAGAGCTTAGTCTTTTTTCCAGCCCATGTTATCTAACTTTATAGATCAAGAACGCATTTTTGGGGCGGTTTACACAGGCTTAGGCTACTTTTGGCAATAGATTTACCATAACTGATGCAATGGAGCTGAAGCAGAAGTTACAATAAAAAAAAGAAACCATTTGCAGATTTTCTGAACATTTGCTCACATCATTTTTGCACATTGCAATAGATTTGATCGCACTGACGTAGTTTTTGATATCAATAAAACATATTCAATCAAAATAATGTAGAGAGAATCAAGCGAAGTTCTGAATATGGAGCAGTATTTTTGGACAATATTACGGAAAACCACCAAATCCAACAATGGAAACAGCTGTTAGCATTGTAAACCTGTGAGACCCAACTGGTCAGATTTGTGTGTGTGCAGCATTGAAAACCTAAACACGAGGGAAACGCAGCTAAACAAAGTCGCGTGTTTTACGTGTGAATAAAAAATGCATTCTGCTAAGAATAAAGCCTTTGATCTTCAGACTTCCCAAGAAGAAGTTACTTCCGTATTCTGCTACTGTACGGGGTTGTTGTGCGTTTATCATTATTGCACATGACACATTTCAAAGTGACACTGATTCTACAATAAAACAAGGTCAGGTTGCACTAAAAAAACATTTTTAAACATCTGGAAATCAAAGTCCTGCATTACTCGGGATGCATGCATTCATCGGATGTTACGCTAGCTATTTGTATTTTCAGGTACTACATTTCTATCCTGTGTTTCTTCTTTCATGTGTTACGTGTGGTAAAATATAAGCAGTACGTGCGTGATGTGATAAACAAAGCATTATGTAACACACAACATCAAATGCTGCCCTCCTGTTTTTACGTAACTTGTGTTTTAAATGGGGGAATAGTCTAACGGAAATGTGAGGAAATGAGTATGATCAATATTTGAGTATGTGTGTGAGACGTTTTCAGGTCGAGCACGGTTTTCGTCTGTTTCAAACTTTAGAAAACATAAAAAAATCGATAAAGAGAATATCGTATTTATAGGGTTAATAGTAATTGATGTCAACTACCTGTTTCATGTTGCCTGTTTTAAATCATTTACATAATCAAGAAGATAAATATTAAATGCTGTGTTTCCAAGTTATAGCTGCCTCTTATGGCTGACAACTGAACATAAACACCAGTTGAAAATCATTAAGTACTGTGCAATAGTTAGTGTTTTTGATATTTATAAAATGCCAGCTGGATGGAAGTTATGTAAATTCATGATTAATGAAAAGTTGCTTCCCATATATGTAATTGCAAAAAACGCAAAACACCCCCCCCCAAAAAAAAAAACCTGCAAAACACAAAATGTGAAGCGGCAAATTTGCAAGTACCTCTCCATGGACCCAACAAAACTTCATGTCAAATTTAGTGAATATCCATCAACAGGGAACGAAGTAATGGTAATAAACATAAAAAACACCAATAGAAACAAAAAAACACAAAATCCAAAATGAAAATGTTTATGCACCCTCGCATGGACCTAATGAACCTCCACACCAATTTTGGTGAAGATCCATCCACACCCTGCGAAGTAGTTACATTTCTATAGATTACTTGGCTAAAAAATTGTATGTGATATATTTGTCTGACAGTAATACTTGAATGTCATGTACTACAAAATTATTAGAGATATAGAGACACGCCTCTTTCTTCACTTGGGTCAAAATACACTACAACATACACAGTTCAACAACATTGTCTGAAATATAACATTAACATCTTCTAATACGTATCTAAAATGGTAAATACTTCGGTCGGATACCAAGCGCGTGTGAAGAGCACGTGATAACCACTACACTACGGAAACTGGCTTATATCATTTACCTCATCAGACTATTATTGAAATAAACAACACATCGTACCATTATAAAACGTTATACGTATTGTATTTTATTATTTGAAGAATACGTATCATTGATGTTACTT